AAGGTTGGCATACCATGGGGCCATTTTGGTGCCCATAGCTCTTCCTAGTGTCTGGAGGAAGTGTTGCTTATTAAAAGTGAAATTGTTGTGCATGAGAATGAAATGTATAAGGTCAGTAATATCTTTGGGTCCATACTCTGAGTTGTAATCTTGCTCCTGTGGATATGTAAGGCAGGCTTGGATGCCATCCTGGTGTGGGATATTTGTATATAGGCTGGTAATGTCCATGGTGGCTAGGAGGGTGTTGCTGGGAAGATGGTCTGTGTTTTTAAGTTTCTTTGGAAAGTCTGTAGTGTCTTGGACAAAACTTGCTCTGTGGGTGACAAGCGGTTTTAGGATTGATTCAATGAAACTTGATATTTCCTCAGTTAGGGTCCCATGGTTTGACATGATAGGTCTGCCAGGGTTCCCTCGTTTGTGGATTTTAGGGAGCATGTAAAAAGTCCCAGGGTTGGGTAGTGGCGGGGATCAAGGTCTGTAGTTTTTCTTGTAGTCGTGATGGAAATGATTTGATGGTATTGTTGAGAGTCATGGTGAAACCTTTTATGAAACAATGAATTTTTTTAAATGGAAAATTTCCCACAGAAAAATAAAGCACTGGAAAAATTTCCTTCCTACATCTCTGGTTATATCTTCATTTCTGATAGACAGCACACTCTTCTCTTTTTTGACTGGTATGGTTCTTCTCCTTGGGAGTGAATCCTCAGTAACATGAACCTGTCTTTTCCAGGTGTTTGCATGTTTCTCTGATCTTTTTCCTTTTTGCTGCATATTTTGTCTGCTGATTTGCATCTATTGATCTCTCTTGCTGTTTCTCTCTCCTTTGTGGGCTGAAATCACGTTTAGATTCCACTCTGTCTTCCTTCTTTTCAGGGATGGGGATTGGCTGCTCTTTTCTTCATGCCATCTTTTTATCCTCTTACCTGTTTCTCCTCTTTGTCTGTCAACATACTACGCTAATTCATCAGTTCTACCTCCCCCATCAATACTTTGCCTTGTTCTCAGTCACATGCTTCCATGGCTTCCCTTTCTCTTCTAAAGATCTAGCCATCAATTCCTCAGATGGCATGTCTATGAGGCATCTCACTTGCATGCACACCCTTGTTTCTCCTTTATTCCATCACCCGCTCATATTCCTATCTGAGCTCCACCATTTGTTTTTATTTCCAGTCCTTTAGGCTTCTCCTTCATAAGCATCGTCAGGCAACCACATGCACAAATACCCACCATTATGGACCAATGTAAGGATGACAAACATCCTGCAGCTTGCACAACCTGTCCTCTTAATTTCCCCATCTTGCTTGGATGCTCTTCTGTGGATGTCACAATTGCCATTTTCTGCCCTTTAAGCTTTCAAGAAAGAACCCTGGAGGAAAAGGCTTTTGGGAAAGAACAAAACCAAAACACAACTCACAAACACCACACCACATTCCTGGCAACCCATCCTGGTTATTGGCTTCCAGTTTCACTGGCAGTCCAACTTTTATAGCTTAGGTCAGCCCTGCACTTCCTAGTTAAGCTTAGTTGGGGAAGGTGTTAAAAGCCTGCTGCTGAACACAAGCCCTAGCCCATGGGCGACTGGTGCCTTCTGAGTTGGGGGGGGGGCACTTGCCCCCCCCC